AGTGCCTGTGGGGCCGGGCAGTGACTGGCCTGACCTGCTTACCTGTGGGGGGCCCTCCTCACAGCTGACTGTGGCTGCCCAGGCAGAGTTTGTCATTCATTGAAATCAGTGGCTCTCAACTGGGATAATTTTGTCCCCCAGGAGACATTTGGCCATTCCTGGTGACATTTCTGGTTTTCATAACTGAGGAGTAGGATGGCAGTCGCTATTGGCATCTCGTGGGTGGAGGCTATAGATACTGCTAAATAACCTACAATGTACAGGACCCTCTACAAAGAATTATTGGTCTAAAATGTCAGTAGTGCTATTGTAGGAAAACCCTGAAAATAAACTAAACAGTCATAAAGTCCCTGATGGAATCTGCCTTCTCATTTAGGTTTTCTCCCCACTGTTTCCTGCACTCACCCTGTGCTAGAACCAGATGGAACTACTCCCTCCATAGTTCACTTCCTCTACAATGAAGCTTTTCTATCCCCGCCTCCTGACCCTATCCCCACTTGTAGAATTGCCCGCCTGGTCTTCCTTTGCACGGTTAATCTGTATTTCTGATGTATTTGAGTTGTTTATTGTTACAGGGTAGGGCCCCTCTCAACAGGAAACATCACAAGGCGGGGAATCTGCCGCTATTCCTTCTGTGTGCTCTAGGATAGAGGCTCACAGCCTTGAGAAACCCTTGGAGCTTGTCAGGTAAACACAAGCCCTGGGGCCAGTGCGATTTGGGTTTGCTGCTCGGAGGCACCTAGACAGTTTTCCATACAGTCTTGTGGAATACACAGACCCCCGAAACCCTCCCTGTGATCCCAGGCTGAGAGCCCCCAAATGCGGGTACCAAGAACACCTGTGGTACTCTGGAATGTCATTCTAGAACAATACTGAGACTGTTACAAGGGTAAAGTGTGGCAGCAGAGTGCATGTGTGTGTGCATGTGAGTGCACACATGTTTAAAGTTTAGATCTTTCCTTTTTAGAGATCGTCTCTAATGCAGTCGTCATAAAAGTGGCACCAGTGGTCGTGAATACACGCCTTCACCCATGATGGAAAAGAGAAGGAATAGATTGGCATTAAAGTTCACCTTGTTTAGAAAAAGCAGAGTAAGCACCTAACACTTTAAAAATATTTATTTAAGTTAAAAGAGACTGTAGTAAGATCTTTTTTCATAACGTCGCACTTTAAAAATATTTATTTAAGTTAAAGGAGACTGTAGTAAGATCTTTTTTCATAACGTTGTTGTCCACACAAATGCTAAGTAATGCCTTTTCTATTTGCATAATTTGGGAAGGTTCCCTGTTCTCTGTATTTGGATCGAAGGAAGAGTGTGTGACTTGTAAGGCAAAACAAATAATTCAGAATATAAATATTCCTACTTTAGTTATACGAGAAAAAGTTCTAAAATGATTGCTTAGATGTAAATGTTTGTTGTACATTTGTGCTGGTGAACGTGGAGTGGTTTGGGGCTTTGGTTTGGGGAAGAGGTCCAGGTGGTACTTTTCTATACTCTTTTTGCCAAAGTTCATCTCATTCCTGGAATTATTCCTGGCAGCTGTGGTAAACAGCTCATTCTGAAATGTCTTCAGATCCAAATATTGAGGACTTGTTTCAGCCAGGCTCTGGGTTAATTCTTGCTATTTTTATTGTGTATATGTGTGTTTTAAACTCTGGGCAGAAATGCCTCACCCATCACACACAGAAGAACATAAGAAGGCTCTTTATTCCTAGCTGCACCCTAGATTTAAAACACAGTTAGTAGGAATTTGTTTGTTAGGGTCTTATACTTGCTAGGAACACAAAGTATTAATACATATATAAATAAATTCGTTTCTTCTTCTGATTAAATTTTTTTACACCCATGCTTTTAGAATTAGTTCATGACTTGAAAAGAAATGAATAAGCAATTCCTGTGGGCAAAGTAAATAACAGTGAAATATTTCTGCCAATCTCTGTTGAAGATTATTATAATCCACTTTAGGAAAGGGGAAAGAACGAGTTGCATTTCTCCACTTGTGTATTAGGGGAGTGGAGACTGTCTTTGCTTCTGTGTCCTCAGTGACTGTAGCTTGGAGTCTTGTATGGAGAAGGTGTTCAGTGCTTGTTGCTAATGATGAATTCAGCTGTAAAAATTAGAATTTGACCTACTTAAAGTTTATAAGGGGTTTATTCCCTAAGGCAGGGTAGGGAGAAGCAAAAACAACTTGGGGTTTTGTTTTTGGTTTTGTTTTGTTTGTTTTGTTTTAGCAATCAGATCCAGCATCTTAGAAAAATGGCCTGGCCCTGCCCTCATTTGGTGTCTTCCTATCTCACAGCAGGATAGGGGAGTCCGGGTGGGGTAGGCTAGGCAGTTTACCTGCCACTGTGCTTAAGGGGGATGAGGCCAACTTCTCACTTCACCTGAGAAGGTGATTCAGGTTTCCTTATCCTTTTCAAGAGAACAGCGTATAATTCTGGACACGTGTCTACTTGTGGGCCGACTCTCCATCTGCTAGCTAGGAACGAACACCGTCATTTTTGTGAAAGTTAGAGCAGACATCTAATTCTTTTTGGTGTGGTCTTTTCCCATGATAGGTATGATATATCTATCAGGAATGTCAACCTGAGTGCAAGGGAAGAAAAAGGTTTTGTTCCTATCTTATTAAGGTGGTGTTTTAGGGGCAGGCTGACCACATCAGAAAACTTGCCTATGACAAACATCCACTCCAGGGCCCACTCTAGTTCCCCTTCCTCCTGGGCCTGTCATGAGGACCTGCCATACCTGGTCATGAAGAGATATGAATTGGACTTGAGGAGTGGTCTGGGGATGGTCCAGGGGGCTTTGAAAGGAGGGCGAGGCCCTTCTCATTTTGACCTCCAGTGGTTAGAACCAAACCGACCAGCAGTCTCCCAAGTTAGTTAAGTAGCTCTTGGATGTTATTTCTTTTCACCCAAGAAATATGTTCAGAGCCCCTTGGGGAAAGATTTAAAAGGTGAAGAAAGTGAGGTAATATTCCTATTATGTGAGGGGTCTCCAGTCCAGCCCTCCTCTGCCCTAGGCTGGCTACTCCAGCAGGCAAGAACAGGGAGCCAAAGGCAGCCTTCCTCACAGCCTGCCTGCCAATCACCAGTCTGAGCCAGGAAGAAGTGGAGGGGACGAAAAAAAGAAATTATATTATTTTTGAAATTGCATGAAAACTAGTCTGGAGAAAACATATTCCTTGTCCAACCCTACTCCTAAGCAATTTTAAATTCTTTAAAAGTTTCACAGAAAATAGGAGGGAAGGCCAAGTTTCATAGGACTGGCTCAGCAATTTTATTTGAGACGTTTATAACAGGATTGCTTTGGTTCTCAAGTTTTTAATGTTGGAATGGGGAGTATGGAATGCAGCACATTCCTGGTACAGGATATGCCTTGTTTTTTTATGCATGGCAATACTGATGGTGAATGGGAACTGAGACTTTTAGTCTTACCTATTTAATTCATCGCAAGCAAAAACAGCTGGAATAAACACAGTTTAAGCCCCCAAAACCTGAGTGGGTAAATACTCTGAGAGGTTTGCACCAGTAGAAGTTTTCAGAAGGCCTGATGGCTCAATGTGTTTCTTTCCTCCTTGCAGTATGCCACCACGGGCTGTTCTCTGACCCTGCACCACACGGAGAAGCCAGAACATGAAGACATCTGTGAATATCGCCCCTACTCCTGCCCTTGTCCTGGTGCTTCCTGCAAGTGGCAGGGGTCCCTGGAAGCCGTGATGTCCCATCTCATGCACGCCCACAAGAGCATCACCACCCTTCAGGGAGAAGACATCGTGTTTCTAGCTACGGACATTAACCTGCCAGGGGCTGTCGACTGGGTGATGATGCAGTCATGTTTTGGCCATCACTTCATGCTGGTGCTGGAGAAACAAGAGAAGTACGAAGGCCACCAGCAGTTCTTCGCCATCGTTCTGCTCATCGGCACCCGCAAGCAGGCCGAGAACTTTGCCTACAGGCTGGAATTGAACGGGAACCGGCGGAGACTGACCTGGGAGGCCACGCCCCGGTCCATCCACGACGGTGTGGCTGCAGCCATCATGAACAGCGACTGCCTGGTTTTTGACACAGCCATAGCACATCTTTTTGCAGATAACGGGAACCTTGGGATCAATGTGACTATTTCGACATGTTGTCCATGATGCACCGAAATTATTTGGGCATAGTGCTCTGTGGTTAATAAAGTTTTTATTGATGTTTTATTCACTATGTCTTCACAAGTCAAAGTCCCCAGCTACCCCGTGGTCTGTTTGAACAGCAGCTTCCCATCTGGCATCAGCCCAGCAGAGTTCACTAAACCAGAATGAATGGGGTTAGCCTGTTGGTCATTCGGAGGCTGTTCTGTGAGCTAAAATCAACTCAGTTGTTAAATTTTACTCCCTAAACAGCACTTGCAGGTTGCTCAGGGCTCCTGTAGACCAGTTTGTTAGAAACTGGAGGCTCTTTCCTGCCCACCTCCCTATGTTGGTCTCTCCAAGTTGACAAAAGCACAGTGACTGTCAGCAGATTAACTTTACTTTTATCTTGTGCATAAAGGGTAGGAATTGTTTTAATGCATTTTAAACTGTTTCTCAAACTGGAAGGCTAACCAATATGCAGAGTCACCTGGAGTAATCATCTTAGACATACAGATTTGGATTCTATGAATTTACCAATCTCATCAGATGATTCTTTTCAACAGTAAAGTTTGAGAATGACTGGGTCAAATTGTGGGTAAAGTCCAGATTTTAAAGGTGCTTTAAGATTGCCCAATACTGATACTGTTTGTCTTTCTGCTATTTCATCCCCCAATAGTCCTCCACCCCCAAATTTAAACCAGAACTACAGATCCCCAGAGCACACTCCTAAGACTTGGTCCCTCTCTTGTGTTTGGGATGGATTGCCTATGAAAGGGAGTTGTATGGCCATTGATAGTTCTCACGTAATTAGTTTTTGCTCATCACTAATACAGATGACCTATTTACATGTGGCTTCCCTTGGAGGACCTCCTTGACTGTAGATGGTGGGATAGACTAGATCAGATCAGTAGAGCTGGGAAATCTTTATTACCAGTGTCATATGCTTGCTGTTTAAAGGTATGGTTTTTGTTTTGTTTTGTTTTTTGCCACATTCACTTTAGTTTTTTAATAAATATTTTCCAAAAATGAATGTTGTGCTTTGTTTTCTGAGTTGAAAAATTTATTAGGTGCCTCCTGTGTGTAGGTGAAGCTTCACCACTACCTTGGGCTGGGGGCTCTCACTATTTCCACAGGAGGACACAGTCGTTTGTCCAAGGTCGTATCATAGTAAGTGTTGGCACTAGGGTCCAAACTCATTTCTCTGAACCCTGGACTGTCGTTGGTATTACAGTGCTCCTCCTTGGAGCTGTTCTTTCTGACAGGGTCAGCACTTATGGAAGAAGAGTGTTTCTCGTGCTTTATGAGGCATGGCTCCACCTGAGGTCCAGGGTACTGGGTTTGAGGCAGGGTAACCCACTCCTTCAGTTCCAACCATAAACTGTCGAGAGTTAGAATACTAGCCCTGAATGCTCAGTGAAGATTGAAGATAGCTCACCTTAGCAGCCCAATGGCTTTAGAGGAGCACCAAGTGGGAGTGATGACGTTAGAGTTGTTTTTGTTTTTTAGGTGAGATGCAGTGTTAAGTTCTTAGCCAAGATGGAGTTCTGGCAGTTAAGAAATTGCTAAAGTAATTTATCTTCCAGGATATTCTTCAAATAAAGGTGACAAACAGTGCCCTGAGCAAAAGAAGTTGCTTAGAACATGTTTGGTAAATGAATGAAGATGACAGCTCTTGTCACCAAGTCAGTCACATTTCAAGCCAGTATCCATGGAGCTGAAACCAGGATCCAGGAGCAGGTGGACTTTGAACAGAGCTGATCCAGGTGTGGCTTTCTGGTGCAGGCTTGGCACCCAGGCAATGTGTTTTGTGCATAAACTAGCTGAGCTGTCACCATCATTTCATGTTCATATCTAACCATTCTTGTTACATGTGATGGAGAAAATCAGGACCAGATTGGTCAACAAGGTACAAAAGGGTAAAGCTATAATAAAAGACCATGAAGATGGAGAGAGTGGAATCGAGTTATTCCAAAAGCATAAAATGTTAGATTTTTCGGCCCGAAGAGGTAAAGTCATGGGCCAGCAGCCATACAGTGCATTGATGGCAGCACTGATTCTAGAACTGACTTCCTGACTCCCAGTTTAAACATGTTTCTAGAACTTAAAGTTTCAGGCAACAAAACTCTGAACTTCTACTTTCCAAAGTTATTTAGCTCCCTTTAGTCTTTGTCACTGGAAATCTGTAAACATTAACTCTTTTTTGAAACAGAGCATTTTCTGCCATAAAACAACCCCAGATCATTCATTACCTGTTTTAAGAGGATGTGAAAACAACAAAAAAATATTATGTAAATTAAAATGTCTCTTTATATAGTTCCAATTACAAACGTAGCTTTAAACAGTGCTGGACAGTTGTCAAACTCATCACATGGTCCACTCATGTATCTTATTTTTAAAATAATTTTTTCTCTTTTTTAGTTCCACATTCTAATTTGATATAAATCTGGCTGATCAAGCAAGGCAGTAGATTCAGCCTGTGCCTTACAATGTCTGAGCCATTCTAAGGAAAAAAACATTCTCAAAAAATCTTGGAAGAAAATGTTCATAGCCGCTCATTCTGGGTGGCAGGAACCTGGGTATAATATTAGCATTTACATTGTTCTATATTTAAATTAAAAAAAAACAAAAAACAAAAAAAACCAACCTTGAGATCAGGGGTTCCCAACCTTTCTGCGAAGAATTGGTCTTGGTTTCCCTGAATCCTCATGATTTAAAGGATTAAGAGGGTGACGTCCTCACAGTGAACAGTCCAGTGCAAATTATGGGAAAGCAAAGGAGAGGTCACCGAGGCATCAACCACCTTGGAATGCCACAAAGTGGAGCATGAAACCCTACCAACAGATTCAAACTCATGGCTGGGTGTCTCCATCTCAGCAGCAGATTCATGCAACTCCCTCACAACACCATCCAAAGGAAATTCTCCTTGTACTTAACTTCACGTTCTTGGCACAAAGTAACCAACAGAATGACCTTAGGTTGATCATTTGACTTTTCTGGTCCCAAGTTTTCTAACCTACAACATTTGAAGCTTTATTTTCTAAATGTTTTTCCTGTAGTACTAACATCTGTGAGACAATTGAGCTATTTAAATTTAAAGTTAAGGTATATAAATCCTTCCAGCCAGGTTTTGAGTGAGGTGGTTCTGAGATAATTGTGACCCAGCATGTGTCAGTCAGCATCAGTGGTAAGTCAAACTCCAGTTGCCTCTCAGATTCCCATGGTTTAGAGCTAAGGATGGTGCCTGGGCATAGAGAACAGTTTTGCTTTGTAGTTCTGGTTAGAGAGGCCTGCAGCCTTGACCCTTCCTGACTCATGCTGCTTGTGCTTAAAGTATGATCATAATTTCACTGACCTGCGCTGGCCTGGAAGCAAGGGAGTCAAGAGTTCTTAAAACATAGGAAATCTAGCTTTCTCTATTGTTAAATCTTCTGCTTCTGCTACTAATTTGAAGCTTAAAAGCTTGTATTTGTTAAAAATTTTCATTTATCTTAGAATCCTTAAATGACAGAGCAAGGAAAAATGTTAGACCCTACTGAAACCAACACATGCTACCACACCACTATTTTACAGAATGAAGAATGAATGAATAAGATCTACAGAAGGAAAGCCACTGACCCCAAACCACAAAACTGATTAGAATTTGTGCTGTAGACATGGTGTCTTCTGTAATGAGTAAAAGCGGGGAAAGTATAAAACTATTAAAACTACAAGCCAGAATTTTATGATAATTAAGGCCAACAAAGGGAATTTGCTCCCAGTCTTGATTCCATCAACTCTCCAGCTGCTATGCCACCACCTGGACCTGGACCACTGTGAGAGCTCCTGTTCGTCCTTCTCCCTCTAGCCCTGCTCCAATCTATTCTGCACATAGGCAATCAGAAGCCTCTCTTTAAATGAAAATTGATGGTGTCAGAAGCTCTTAATATTTTCTTTCAGAGTTTTCCTTCATAGCACTCTCCACAACTGCAGTCGTATATTTTATTTGTTCAATGTCTGCTTTCTCTGGACAAATTCCGGAATAAGAGAGATTATGAAGTTTTTGTTTGTCCCTGTATCCATGGTTCCTGGGCACTCAATATCTGATTGAATAAATTACTGCCAACAGTTAGTCTGAGAATAGCACTGACACCAACAACTTAAGAGTTAATATTCTGTTTTCATACCAAAAATCACTGGGTAATTTGCCATAGGTAGGCAAGGAACAGAGATGCAGAGATAATCTAATAACCTAGAGAAGGGAGAAAACAAAGGGTTTCTCTGCCCCTGTCATTCTCTAGGCAAGGACAGAAATGCTGGCCTGAAGGCTCTATGCCCTGAAATTTCTTATAGGATTACCTGACATTCAGATCAAAGGCAGACTCTGCCCTGTGTTTGATGATCCATGCAGAGGGTACAGATCAAGGTTCCTTTGAGCTGCAGGGAACTGTATCACAAGATGAGATTGGCTCACAAAGTCCACCAAGATAACAGCGGTGGCCATCTGTTGGGCACCTATTGGTGCAAAGTACTTTTTATTAACCCATTTAATTCTCCCCATGTCCCAATGAGATAAGGATTTATTAGCCTTGATTTGGAGTTGACAAAGTTAAGACTCAGAAAGATTAAGTAACTTGCCTAAATTCACACAGCTGGTAAGCAATAGAACTGAGATGTGAACACATTGCAGAGTCCATGCCCCTTCGCCATGTTATATGATGCATCATTATTGGTGTTTGATTTTCACATCTTTTGACCACCAACAGAAATACTGCTTATTTGTAACAGATAAGGATGAACAGGATATAGGGATGCAGATATAGGGTAGATACAGAACAGAACACCTATGCTTTAGAGCTGCTTTCTCTACTGTCAGCATGTTAGAAGGGGACAGAACCGAAGAGATCATTCAGACCCTAACTACTCACAGTGTGGTCCATGGACCAGCAGCATCAGCATCACCTGGGAGCTTGTTAGAAATGTAGCATCAGGCCGCACTCCAGACCCACTGAATCAGAATCTGCATTTTAACACAATCCCAGGTGATTTGGACATAGTTTGAGTTTGAGAATCACTGGTCTATTTTTTTTTAAACGCCTACAGTACCTGGTATTCCTAGGTGGTCTCCCATCCAAGTGCAAACCAAGCCCAACCCTGCTTAGCTTCCGAGATCAGACGAGATTGGGCACGTTCAGGGTGGCATTGCTGTAGAGTGAGAAGCATTGGTCTACACCAGGGTTCTCAACTCATGTGTCCTCTTAGAATCTTCTGGGGAGTTTTAAAGCTACCAGGACCTGAGTTTGAATCCCTGCCAGTAAGCCTGATCTTCTGTGTTCTTTTTAAAGCTTCCCAGGAGAATCCAATGTGCAGTTAGAGTTGAGAACCACTGATCTAGTCCAACTCATTGCCTTATTTGCTTTTATTTTTCTCGTTTTATACTGTAGTTAAAACAACTGAAGTGACCTACAGAGTATAATGAAAAGAATATGGCCTGTAGAGATTAAACAAATTGAGATTTGGATCCTGATTCTGCCACCTATTAGCAGTGAGGCTTTAGGCAAATCACTAGCCTCCCTGGGCCTCAGTTTCCATATTTATAAAATGGAGATAATAACTCCCATCTTAGAGGATCACTGTGAGAAAGATATAAGTAAAGCACAGAAGACAGAATGTTTATGCACAGTAGGACCCTGATAAATGGTGGCTACTCTGACTCCTCAAGTCAGATCACTTGGAGCAGCAGATGGCTATCAGAGGAGTAAAGCCCAATGCATCACAATTCCATCCCCCAGCATATCCTCCAAGTGTGGAGCCAATGGGTTGATATAACTTGCGATAGGAATATGATGAAGGATGCGGGGAGAAGAGGTTGAAAGAGAGTCAAAGAGAAGGAAATCAAAGGGTTCTCCTCTCCATGTGCTCCCCCTGCCCACCAATCCCAATGTCCTTAGCCCCTCTGTTCCACCCTGCCCCAACTTGCTGCCCTGACTGTAGAACCAGCTTGTGCCAGTGGTCAATTTTCAATAATCATCGAGTTAGTATTTTTAAAACATA